CCATTGATCCTGACACAAGCACTAGAGTCCCTATAAAGAGACCTTAATGCCTGTATCAAACCAGCGCTCAACCCATATGAGTTCAGTGTTTGCCATAACACATTCCTGTCCACTCTGTCATAAGCCTTTTCCAAGTCCATGAACGCACAAAAAACTTTCTGGTTTTTGGCCAAAAACTTCTCCGCAATTATGCGCAAGACTTGATCTGTACACCCCATTCCCTTTCTAAAACCTGCTTGCACATCCCAAATCTTTCCATCAGTTTCTTTCATAACTCTTTCAATTAACACCTTAGCATACAGTTTACCCACAATACTAAGCAAGCTGATACCACGGTAGTTTTTGCAGTCCCGCTGTGACCCTTTTCCTTTATATATTGGTACTATAACTGCTTTACACCAGTCATCCGGTACCCGTTTTAATTCCCAACGTAAATTAAACAAGGTGTACAGCAGGCCTGCCACCACTCCCTCTCCAGCCCTTAGCATCTCGAGTGATACTCTATCATATCCAGCTGCCTTACCTGCTTTCATGCTTTTCATTGCTTTCATTATTTCATCTACACTTATCTCCATACCCCTTTCCACTTCTTTCGGAATTTCTAGTTCATTTAATTCAGACGACTCTTCACTCATAAACACGCTTTCAAAGTATTCCTTCCATCTGTTTAAATTCGAAGCTTCATCATTCAGAATACATCCATTCTCGTCTCTTATAGCATTCATTTTAGGATGTTTTGTATTTCCCCTGGCAGTTCCTATGAGTTTCCAGAACATTTTTATGTTAGCCTGGAAATTATCAGATATCCTTCTATCATTCTTATCCGTTCTTTCTTTCTTTTCCTTTCAACAACTTCTTTTACTCTCTTATTTAGACGTCTAAATTCTGCCTTTTTTCTTTCAATCTCATCATTCATACCAGAAGAATTACCAGCTTTGGTTGCTAGTAAATCTAACCATGCTTCTTCTTTGATTCAACTTCCACCCGTAACTGTTCATCCCACCACAACGTATTACTTTTCCTTTCATTTGTTCTCTTACTTACACCACATACTTCAGTGGCGGCATCCACCAAACCTTTCTTAATATTGTCCCACACAGTATTCAAGTCTAAATCATTCATACACAACTCATTCAAACATCTAATATTTCCTCTCAGTCTACATTTATACTTCTCTTTCACATCTTCATCTTGTAACTTCTCTATTCTTATACGCTGTAACGCAGTGGTAGACACAGATGTCCGATGCCGCCAACGCTTGAAAAGACCATTAATTCGACATAAGACCAAGTAATGATCCGTCCCTACGTTGGACCCCCGGTAAACCCTTGTATCTACGACTGCGCTCCTCATTCTTTCATCCACAATTACGAAATCTATCATGCTTCTATCATCACCTCTTTCCCATGTATACATGTGAATCTTCTTATGACGAAAAAAAGTATTCGTCACAAAAAGATTCTTTTCCACACATACGGTGAGGAGGTCTTCACCATTCTCATTTATACTTTCATCACCAAACATTCCCAATATCCTTTCATAACCAGACCTCTTCACCCCAACCCTTCCATTAAAGTCTCCTAACATAATAATATTTTCATTTTCCTTACATTTTGTCAACACCATCCTTACCATGTCCCAAAACTGCTCTCGGATGTAAGTGGGCTTAGACATGTCTGGGGCGTACACCCCTAGCAGGAACAGCTTCTTTAAGCCCACTTTAATTCGTATCCATAGCAGCCTCGGGCTTACACATTCATACTCTTTCACACATTGACCCATTCTTTCTGAAAGGATGAAACCGACACCCTGGCATGCCCGTTCGGTCTCGTCTACGCCAGACCAATACGCGGTATACGTGCCATGTGCAGTGGCATCCTTTCCCTTTCGTTTCGTCTCATTCACACATAACACATCTATTCCTCTGTCTTTCATCATTTCGCATACTTCATCCATCTTATCATTCATTCCTCCACATACATTCAGCGTAGCCAGACGGGTTTCCGCAATCCACTTTTCGCCCCTCCGGGAGACAGAACGTGACGGGTGGCGAACCTCGTCGCCGGTTTTTCTCCCGGAGATTCTTCGCACCCCTGCCCCATTGAAGGGGCGCCGGGAACTCGGGGCCATTTCTTTTGTTTTCTGAGTCATGGTGCGAACAAGGGGTGGTGGTAGATTTTACGCCGCTACCATACGGCGAGGAGCCGAGTCTATTTTTTTCGGCTTTGTCGCTCGTTTAGCACCACCCGGGGGACACGTGTAGGGTGGGCCTAAGGTTAGGTGGTCGAAGCCTACGGACGCGAGCGACTCATCCCCCTTGTGTTGAGTGCTTAAGTATAGGACGAATATATTTATTATACACATTTTTTTGTGGAAACATATATAAGATATTATAATTAGGCTAAATTTTTCATGTTTAAATCTGCTTATTATTCTTTTATTTTATTTTTAGGTTTCCACTTTAAAGTCAAAGTGGAATAAATTCGTCCATTTTTAACTCTCGCGTGCCCAGCATTTATGAACGATTATTTACAGCATTTCTGATTCTAATTTAATAAGTTTTGTTAAACATACATTTAGTACGTTTTTTATATTTGACATAGATTCCTTTTAAAATATTCAGATAAAAATATCATTAAAATGTAATTGTGATATAATATTATGTAATATTATATTAAATAAACAAATATAATATACAAAATAAATGACAAATTTTAAATATTGTTCTCGCTATAATTTACCTATTTAACAATACAATCTACTATTACCGACGGATCATTCTAGCTATGTTTATTCTATGATAAAAAAACCAAACGCGCGAACACAGAGTAGCGCACATTTTTTGTTTAAGATAGCTGTTTTAGTACGCATTAGTACGTAAGTACACATTACTTCAATGGGGAGCTACATACCTTTTGAAATAAATAGGTATTATTTCTTTAGTTTTACAATTTCTACCTCAGGCGTAATATAATCTGTCATCATTAATTTTAGCTAATGAAAATAAGATTGGTTGTATTTTATTACATATTAGGTTAAATTTGAATGTAAGTATTACTTTTAATTTGAACATGATTTCTCCTTTTTTTACTACTTTTATTATTTTCACGTAACTTGTACGTATTAATTTCTCTTCTGTAAACAAAATTTATTATGAAACTATAAATTAAAAAGGAAAGGAATGTATTAAACCTACAATCTACAATCAACTTAGCTTAGAGGTGGTATTGGGGATGAAGGGGCGAGGTGTTGGTGTAAACTTAGGTAATTGAATTAGACTCCCTGTGACGTAGTGGGTGCGGAATTTGGTAGTTTTTGAGGAAAATAGTGTAACCATTTTGTATATTACACACTAGTACACCTTTCACATTATAATATTTTGGGATTAGCTTAGCTTCAAAATTAATTGTAAGTTGAGTAAGCAGTGTATTACACTTATAAGTATATTATTTATTTGTTTGTTATTAAATTTTATAACAGGCTCTATTTTAAATAATTTATTCAAACTCATAAAAAATTATATAATATAATGTTTGCTAAAGATTGAATAGGAATTATGCTTCTAAAACTTTCATATCTTCTATTTTAACTCAAAATTGAAGTACACAAACATCTGTGATATTTAAATGTATTGTTAAAACTATTAAACATTCACTTTTTATACAATGCTGTAGTTGCCCAAAGCTAGGATACAACGCCTCATATCTTGAATGCAGTCATAATATGATTTGTAGGGTGGTGCAAGTGTAGCATCATATAACTTTAAAATTTCCACAAATTTCTTTATTGCTTCACCATATTTTCCTTCTTCCATGGCTGCACGACCAAGTTTGTACATCATGTCTGTATCCTGTAACAAATGTTAAGTTTTTTATAATCACATTATATAGATTTTTACAAATTCTTACCTATGACTTTTTTGTTTAGAATTTAAAATAAAAGAGTAAGTTCAAAGAAATTAAAGCTAATTTACACTGACAACATTTTACTGTGGTAGTGCCATGCTGCAGCTATATTATGGTTCTAGCAATGGGTTGACTATGTTTTCAGAGAATATCGTTGTAAAATAGTAACTAAATGTAATCTGTTATTGGGTACCTGTCATGAAATTCTCAGTCGGAAGTCAGAAAGTTGGCGGTGTTACATCTCTGTGCCACGGAAAGCACATAAAGCCGTTGGTCCTGTACCTGATCTCTATATGATCGTATCGGATTACCGCCGTATCAGAAAATAAGGCTGAAGGAATAGAGTAGCGGCGAACGGTGGAATTTTTTATAAAAAGACAAATCCCGTTCACCATCTATCCTTAAAATGCCGTGACCGGCTCCTATGACCGGTACACAGTCCTGTGCAAAATTGGGTTGTAACAATAGGTTAAGACAAACTAAACAAAACATTTGTGAAATAGATTTATTATTCAGTATGATAAAATACTTTACAAATTACTTACTCAAACAATTTTATATTTATAATTTTTGTTCTTTAATAATTTATTGTTTATATTGTATGGTGAATGTAGAGAACTGGAGATCCTGTTTACTGGAAATTAGGCATTTTATTATAGTCGTCAGGGGTGGCATCGCACCTGCTTTTTGGTACATGTACGTGTCTATGGGCCACAGCATTCACTTACCATCAGGTGGACTGTGTGCTTGTTTGTCACCCTTATTCTATAAAGAAAATAAAACACAACCCTTAGATTATTATTTAAAGAGGCAATAAAACTGTTGTCCAGAGAAAAAGATACAGCTATAAAAGGTTTTTATAAATGCATATTTTTAATAATAATGAATTTTTTTATATACAATTAAAAACCACTTTTTGCTTTAAATGCAAACTGTGCGAACTGACTAATGATACTGCATTCTATTTCAGTTAAGCATTTTGCAGTGTACAAAAGGGTACATCTTGTGAGTGTCTTGCATGATTTAAAGGTGTTAATTTGTTTTTCAGATATGTTGGCTGTGACATATGTAAATACCTGTGAATATTAATCTACTATGGCAGATGATGATGAAGGTAACTGAAAAAATTTATAATAACTTAAAGAGTGCTTCTTACTTTTTTGATATGGTTATGAAAGGGAAAAAATATATGTATATTGTTAGTCTTTTCGACACACAAATTTTATTTGTCACTAAATTACCAATATGGAGAGGGCTATGCTCGGAGTTTCTCTGCGTGATAAGACTCAGAAATGAGGATATCCTCAGTAAAACCAGAGTGACCGACATAGCCCAACAGATTAGTAAGCCGAAGTGGCAATGGGCCGGCCATATAGCTCGAAGAACCGATAACCGATGGGGAAGAAAGGTTCTCGAGTGGCAGCCTCGTACTGGTAGGCGTAGTGTAGGGCGATCCCCCACTAGATGGAGTGACGACCTGGTAAGATATGCAGGAAGTCGATGGATGCAGGTGGCTCAGGACCGTGCTTTGTGGCATTACTTGGGGGAGGCCTATGTTCAGCAGTGGACTTGTGAAGGGCTGTGATGATGATGATGATGATGAAATTACCAATTACCAAAAAAAATAATTTTCAACAAAGTGAAACAGTTATTAGTCTGTAATGTGTATATATTATAGTTATACATAAAAGTTTGTTTTGTATTCAATGATTTATAATAGATAATTAATTGTATCTGTAATAAATTTTCAGTTGTTGAGGAAGCAGAGGTGATAGCTAGTGGTGAAGCGGAAAATGTAATGGGACTCAGTCCTATTGATACAGAGAGGCCACTTGCACCACCTAAGTATGAAATTCGACCAGGACTTGGTGAAAAGTAAGATGTTATATTGTCATTATATTATATAAATAAAAAATAAATGTGCTAATCTCTATGAGATATTGAGAAGCAGACCAATATTTCTACATGGTCTTCTGGGCTTGAGATATAAAAATAGAATTGTAGTTTTAAATAAGACTAGCTCTTACATGTGAAAATATTGGAAATTAAAGTAAAGAAAAGTTTTATTTCTGCAATAGTAGTTGGTGGCTCCAATATTTCTGTAAGGCTTTCCTCTTGCAACTCCTTACATATTTCTTTATCTGTCATCATTTGCTCTGTTTCATCAGTCTTCCCTACAAGCCAAGAATTTAAATCTGTTTTGCTTATCTGTTGTCCAGATTCCATCATCTTCATGCGTTTCTATAGAGGAAAATTCTGTCTGTTTTGTTTAAGATTGTGCACAGTAGCACGCCCAACTGCATGCTTTTTCGCCAGTTTGCAAATGTTTTCTCCGCTGCTTAACTTTTTTGAAATCTCAATTCACTCTTTCAATGCTACTCTTAGGTTTTCGTTTGCTCGACATCTTGATCTACGCTATTTTGATGACAAATCACTATTCGCGCAACAGCAGGTACGTGTTTAAACGAGAGTGCGCACATGGTCTTATATGCGCAAGCCTTCGCTCATACTGATCAGGCAGGGAGCGGCGGAAGGGAGAGGCAGTTAGCGGTGGAGTACTGTATGTGTCTATGTACTGAAGTGCCAGTGTAGTGAGACTACTGTACTATCAAAAGAAATATAAAATTACACTAAAAAGCATTATGTCTTATATCATATAAAACTTCCTGAATTGAGTAGAAGCCAGCAAAAAACTGCCTCTAATCATGTCTAACGCCCATTTTACTATATGTACCTAGGAAAAAGTGTCCAAATTTGACCAAGAAGTTAACTGACGAATCCGACTCGGCGGGGCTGTGTTCAGGAAATTGCAACAAATCTTTGTGAGATATTTCTCAGAATCTTAAGACGAGTATGTACAACTAGTGTGAGAGCCAGTGATAACTTAAGGAACTGAAACATAATCATTAATTGCTGACTGTACGAGTATGGACAACCGGTAGGGAAGAAAGGTTCTCAAATGGCAGCCTTATACTAGAAAGCGCAGTGTTGGGTGAAGCCACACTAATTGGAGTGGCGTCCTGATGAAACACGCAGGTGATCGGTGGATGCAGGTGGCCAAGGACTATATTTTGTGCCAATCTATAGGGCAGGCTTATATTTAGCAGTGGATGTGTGTGATTGGTTGATGTGCTGAAGTGATAATGTATGTAAAAAAATATTGCACTTGCTGTTGTTTTTATCAAGTCACAGACATGTGTGATAAGTGAAAACTTTTATATATTATGTTTAAAAGCAAACAAGTTATAAAGCAAGTCTTAGGACTAGGTATTCATCAGACTGAATTTACGTCGTCGATCTCCCGTCACGTAACGCCATTACACACATTTCCATATAAACATCTTACAATGTACACATTTAATCAAACATGCATTATTTATACGTCGAGTGTAGCAACCCAATTGCAAAATGCTGGTGTCTGTTTCGTTTTGAATTTAGCGATTCGTTGTCTCCCTCGCACGCGTGGGCTTTTTACCGGGCTTTCGAAAAGACGATCGCTCCCTTTCTAACCTGTGGCAAAATGTTCTCTAATGAAATATAACTACGAAATGTTTATATAGCAATTACTATTGAGCCACAAGCCTGGCTTTGCCCTGAAGTTATTTAGTAGTGCGTTAGCGACTAGCGAATGGGGTGCGGGCCATTCATATGCAAGTTCACTTCACATTTCAATGTTTATGTTTAAATTTGTTGTGCTTGTTAAAAATGTATGCTTTTTCAAAGATTTTCTGTGAAAATGGGAGGATAATATAGATAATAAGTGTTCATTGTGATGAATATAAGTGTGTTGAAGTGCTAAACGGCGAGGAAAAGGTAAAATCTTAAAAAATGAAATTTAATATTCAATAAACATTTCTTCATACTTTAATTATAGGTACAGGACTCTTTAGTATTAAAGTTTAATTAAGTTAGGCGTATTTAAAGGTTTAATAACTCAGTATTTATATTACCATATGAATTAAAAATATCATTTTGAACGGCAGCATAAAATATACTATATACTAGACACTTAGGTTTAATTTTTTAGGAAATAAGTGTTACAATCTTTTTTTTAACGTGAAGCCCAAATTTTAATGTAATAAATCAAAAGAATACAGAAGAATGTATTGAGGTTTTTAAAGAATACTCCCTTTAGTTATTTCCAGTATATAAAATTTTAATAGCGCCATCTACTTAATTCTATAGGTAAAGTGATTTTATCGAACGAAAATTGGTTGATTCTCACGATGGTACCTAAAGATCAGTTTAAAAATATCATTTTGTACGGTTTATTATGAATTGAATATCATTTTGTACGGTTTATTATAAATTGAAAATGAATAATTATATAATAAATAGTCATTATTTTATGGTAAAAAATTAGCAAAGCTTTATCTTCTCATTATAACTATCTAATTCCTGTCGTAATCTGTTCTTTTATGCATATAACTTAAACAAAATAATTTCGAGGTTTCACATCTGCTAGGCGTCCCTTTTTTAACTTTGTACTTAGTTTGTTTGTACTTTGTTCATGCTTTTCTTTTGTTCATGTATTGTATTGTTTGTAAATATCTCAAGCTAACCCAAACGGCTCTTTTCAACACCACTGAAGGTGTGCAATTGCATATATGTCATACAATCTATCTAGCGGTAGTATGCTTTCTGTGTGCTTTGTTAAACACGTCCTTGTCAGCACTGAATATGAAACTAAAGAGTGGAGACAGCTCAAGATTGGTGTATTTTTATTAAACTGCTAAAAACAACAAAACCATATCTTGGGCTTGCCCTAGTTTGGCGCCCTAGCTTCGCCACTGAGTTGTAGCACGTATGGGTCTGCTCGACCGGGGAAGGACCACGCTCTCACAGAATACCAGAGTAAAATAGCAGCTTAACGCTGTTGTGTTTCATATGGTGAGTGTAGAGAACTGGAGACTTTTTTTACTGGCAAAGAGGCATTCCATCTTAGTCCTCACGTGTGACAACGCATTTTGATTCGTAATCGGGGATAGATGTAGATGTCTATGGGCCACAGCAAACACTGACCATCAGGTGGACTGTGTGCTCGTTTGTCACCCTTTTCTATAATATAAAATAGTATAATAAAGTAGAATATTATAAAATAGTAGTTTTTAAAATATTCCCTAGTATGGGCACATAGCGAATAGCTCATTTCATATATTTATAATTCATCCTGGTACTTTAATCTATCCCTTCTTTGGAAAAACTATACATATGTAGTTTTTACTATATTAGTCGAAAAATCAAGTTCAGTATTTATAATAGTGTGTAGAACACCCTACTTATTGCTTAATATTCCAAAGGCACTTTCCACACATCTTCATGCTTCACTAAGACGATAATTGAAAATACGCATTTCTATATTCAATTTTTTAGCTGGGTATGGTCACTTCCAATTTTTCAGTTACGGGAATGCTTCATCGCTGAGTAGTACAAAACTCTGAGACGCCCATTCAAATTCGGTAAACCTTCGTTCAGAGGAACATGGAGATGAAACATTTTTTCCCCATGATTGAGTTTTTGCAAACTTTACTATCAGCTTCTTTACCATAAGCTCTATCTTCAATAGCAGTGAAGCACTAATTTGCATCTGATATAGCTGTAAGTCTTGTTGAAAAGAACTTTGTGTCGTTGAAGTATTGGAAACCACTGTGAGAAGGATCTTTTATGCGCATGTACTTCCCGTCCTATGCCCTAACATAATTCGGGGAATTCGTTCTAGTTTAAAAGTCATAAACGGATTCCCAACCACATTGCGTCAAAGGGTGCAGGCATTTCCATTGGTTGTAGAGCTATTCACAAACAACAATACAATAAAGAATAATAAAAAAGCTGAAGGTACTCCGGGTTTAACAATGACATCGGGACGTCATTCACCTCTGTCCCCCGTGACTGGGTGCTGGAAAGCACCCAAAACGTCGGGAATTAAAAATAAAATTAATTAAAAGTAAAATTAAACGCGATAAAATTCGTAAAAGTAGTTTTAATCAATATGTAGTGTTCGCGTAAATATACCTAGGCTGCACAAAAAGTATCGGGAATGGAATATTTTCACTGTTCCTGTCATATTAAAATCTTTTTAATTGAAAACTCCTTGGTTTTAAAAATCGAATACCATTTCTTTATTTAAAAAAAGATTATCGGTCTTGTCACAAGGTTTTGTCAAACTTGTTTAGTCGTTGAGAAGATGGAATTGACTCGAGAAAATTCAAGAGCGATGATTTATTATGACTTTCGAAGTGGTTTAACACAAAAATAGTGTGTTGACCGGATGATTTCTGCATTTGGTGATGAAGCCCCATCCAAAACCACAATTTATCGCTGGTTTGCTGAATTTCAACGTGGATGTGTCAAGCTCAGTGATGATCCCCGTCAAGGTCGTCCAACAACTGCAGTCACCCAAGAAAACGTTGATGCTGTGCGTAAGCTGATTGAGGAAGATCGACATGTGACATACCGCGAAATTCAGGCAACTTTAGACATTGGCATGAGTCAAATACAAATAATCTTGCATGAACAATTAGGTGTAAAAAGTTGTTTTCCCGATGGATACCGCATTCGCTCTGTGAAGAGCAAAAAGCGGCTCGCGTTACTTGGTGCGTCAGAATTCTCGAAAGATTCCACGCAGTATCCTCAAATGCTGTATACAACATCGTATCTGGCGACGAATCCTGGATATACGCGTACGAACCCGAAACAAAAAACCAGTCACGAGTTTGGGTGTTCGAAAATGAGTTAAAGCCAACAAAAATTGATCGTTCATGGAGTGTTGCAAAAAAAATGGTGGCCACATTTGTCTCCAAAACTGGCCATGTTATGAATATTCCTCTTGAGGGACGAAGAACGGTTAATGCAGAATGGTATGCTAGCATTTGTTT